TTCCCTTACCTTACTTATTTCTGCCACTGACCAGGACTCCGGCGAGCCCGTCCGTAAGGCCACATTGGCTTCCCGAACAGGGCCTCCAGTCCCCGGGCTGGTCCCCTATCCACCACCTGGGGACGCGCCCCATAGGTAGGCCAACCCCTGGGGCCTTGAGGATTTTTCTGTAGTGCTTGTTTTGTCTTTGATAAAAAGCAGGAATTATTTCTACGGAGAAGGTTGACTACTGATAGATCAGTCTGTTGGTGGTTACAAAACTTGTTGAGAAGTTTAAAAAATCTCATTGTTCTTCCGAGAGGTAAATTGTTAATTAAAGTAAACTAGTTGGCAAACTTTGTTTTCTTGGTATAAGTTAATTCACTCTTCTGCAAAATCAACATTCAACCTAAAATGTACAAAGTTGATTTTAGTTTTATTCAACATTTAAAGAAAATAATAAGTTCCTGATTTTGACCTGATATTGAGTAATCCTTCATTTATCTTGATTCGAATATCGCGATCCACAAGAACCTTAACAAGATTAATTCATCCAGAGACCTTAGAACCGTACGTTTCTATATCTTCACATCATTCACCAGCACACGAAATACACTTTGATTTCACTCTTACAATCACTCACTATTTTCTTCCCGAATTCTCTTCCGCATGGATTTAGCTCACGAACACCTAGCAGAACTGATGCCTATTTTCGACGAAATAAGAGCGAGAGGGGATTGCGGCAACGCTTACCCGTTGCACGTTGGTTCTACGGCGGGCCCCACACTACACATGGCCCACGTTAATCCTAACACCTGCTATTGGGTAAATCACCGTTTTTCTTTTAGACGTTTTACACCTCGGGTGTGGTACTTATTAGCGTAAGATTCTCTGTGTGATAATGTATGTGATTTGTTGGTGGATAGAAGTTAGAGTATTTTGAAGAATATGGGCGGGTTTTGTTCTTCTTGGAATATAATAGGGTCGTGCAAGGGGTTAACTTAAAATTGGCAAATGTGCACTTCCACGAAATATTTTCACACTTGGGACGCACAAAAAGAGAGTGAACCAAGGTTTTTATTTTTGTTCTGTACATACCTATGATCATAAAAACTGTTAGGACTATTCATACATGAAACACTAGTTTGAAATTTTTCAGGAGATTCACTTCAATGTCTCTCGTACATACATGAGAGATGTTTCGGTTATTTTTTCAGTTATAATGTGGAGATATTTAAATTTCATTAATGTTAGGTTATGTTATATTCGAAGTGAGTTAATCTATTCAACCCTCTAAGACCATAAGTGATACCGCTGAGATCACTTCACAGCGCACTCTCTTGTACAGGAGTTAGTGGCTTTATTATCTTCCAGGCTGGTGTTGCCAGGAATACAAACAATAACATACAATTAGTTGATTGTTTTTATTGAGCAGAGTTTTTTTGGAATTCAATACCAAGAATTCAGCTAAGTGCTTCCAGAGGTGCTTGGCTATCTGAGAATACTTCTGTTGGTTCACATGTGAGATTGGTTTCTCCAGTCTCTCCACAAATAAGTCAGTGGTGTACATTTCCTCCTGAAATGCGGATGAACTGACCAGATTGATATCTGTCTCGAGTCTACGACTGTATACATCTGCACCAGAACCTGAAGATGTTTTTGATCCATTTGTGTACAAACTCGCACACGAGTCTCATGTGTGAGACTCGTTGGACCTGAAGAAATGGGAGGGATCTTACTTTTGAACCATCTGTTCTCTTTTGTTGCAGCAGCTAGTCAATAAAAAAAACAAATATATTTATGAAATAAATAAATTATGCCTTGATCACTGATGGTAACAGGAAAAGGTAACATTTTCTTTTCTACAGTAGCCTCTTTCAATCCATCAGTATGGATTGGAACTGAAGAAAACCATTTCTTGTATGGTCTGATACTTTCGGGTTTGTTGATTTGGGAATAAAATCCCATGAAGATGCATCATACCCATTGGGTATCTTTTTCTCAGTTCATTTTTCGGAACTCCAAAATAACAGAGATCGTAATTTCCAATATTTTGGTAGCATCAGCTTTGCCTTTCCAAGTAAAATACTGCAGGGAAACTTCAGTACGGCGGTTAGCTTTTGAATGGGATACTGGTCCACACCAAGCAGGGATAATAGTTTTCTGCATAAAGGCATAAATTATGCCTTGATCACTAATGGTAACAGGAAAAGGTAACATTTTCTTTTCTACAGTAGCCTCTTTCAATTCATCAGTGTGGATTGGAATTGAAGTAAACCATTTCTTGTATGGTCTGATACTTTCGGGTTTGTTGATTTGGGAATGAAATCCCATGAAAATGCATCATACCCATTGGGTATCTTTTTCTCAGTTCATTTCGGAACTCCAAAATAACAGAGATCGTTATTTCAAATATTTTGGTAGCATCAGCTTTGCCTTTCCAAGTAAAATACTGCAGGGAAACTTCAGTACGGCGGTTAGCTTTTGAATGAGATACTGGTCCACACCAAGCAGGGATAATAGTTTTCTGCATCAAATTACCTACAATTTTCATGTATGATCTACTGATGTGGACCATTATATACTTGTATGCCCTGATGTTTATACCGATAACTCGCATTTCGTCAAGGATTGGGAGCATGCAAAGTTTGAGCTTCATATCATTATGACATTTTACCTCTGGTCTTCTGAGTTTTTCTCAGAGTATAGGATAAAGGCAGAAATGATATTCATCTGGGAAAGTGTTTTTTTGATCTCCTGTTATTATGGTGAAGAAAGTCCTTTAAAATGTTAACAGTTTGCAAACCAGATTATCGTAAAACGAATCATTAACGTTTTATAGTTGAATTTGTATATTTGTCAAATAGTTTTGTTGTTGCACTGTAATATAATATATGATATTGTACACTGTAATTGCACCACTGAATATTGTTCAAAATACTGTAAACTCTACATAGCATGTGCACGTGTGTCCCCTTCTCACACTTTATTTCAATTGACCTTCAATTGACATAATCATTTCAACCAATTTTGTTTTTATCCCTGTGTGAATGTTTTGGTACAATTGAATCTCTGTCAGTTAATACAAATTATTGTGATCAAATCAAGTTTTTCATGCCATCTTTGATTTTATTTTTTTAAATTCAACCTCGAATAGATTCGATGAAATTTGACAGTGAAATGAAACTTACGTTATACATTTCGATTGAAGATAATTTTGACGAGTCCAGATCAGGTAAGCACAGTACTGGTAAGTTAAGAATAAGTCTGGAGATTTATGTGGCTTTAGATAACTTGTAGCTTGATAACTATATTTGAAATGGTCGTCTCAATAATTCAACATTCAACAACATGTTCGTTTCAACGCATTAAAGGCACATTAGTTATAAAAACCACTTAAAAAAAATTCACTCCTTATTCTCTTATGTTTAATCAACTATGCACAAAAATCACATTTTCACAGTGAATTGAGATGATTTCATTTCAAATTTTAATTTAGTTTTATGTGTTGATGTTTTTTTAATAACCAACAATTTCTTCATAGATTTATTTTATTCATTATTTCCGAAGTTAGCGTTTCGATACTTATTTGAATAAGGTATATCTGGTAGTTTCAGTTGTTTAATAAGGACCAAAGAAAAATCATCAACACATGCAAGATAACAAACACAAACTTTTTTTTCTTTTGAAAATGACTGCTTTTGAACGATTTTCCATTCGGTGCCTTAATAATATTTTTATTTCATAACTTCACACTAGAGGATGCATTTTGAAAGTATTGAATATTAAATTTTTTTAAATTATGAATGGCGGTAAAAATCTCAATAGTGTTTGTGTTTTTGATCAGTTTTTATCTGAAGTGTCTATTCAAACTAGAATATATTCCTTTGAAAATATAAACTATCGTACACATTGACGAAAAGTTTTGGAGAAGGAAACAACGAGGCCTTCGATGAAACGAGAAAAGAAAAAAACACGTTGGCCTTGAGTTTTCAAGTACATTAATCGATTCCATCCTAGCAGTCTTGATGAATTTTAATGGAACTTGTGGAAGCTGAAGAAAGATAAGAGTCGTATCTTTCGGTCGGTAGCCAAGCAGTTCGACGTGGGTGCTGTGTTCACTCACTCGAATTGACTTGCCGTGTTGGTCGGTGGTTCAAGCCCTAGTCTGAACGATCGATTTTCACTTGCTATCGTCCAACTCGTGTTAGGGATCACTTGTTAAAAGGTGAGACCTCGTTAATCCTTAGCTCGCACAAGTTTCGACTTCTGAAGGTTGTCGTTCGTAGGGGTGCGACAGCTGGTTAACAGAAGAACAGATTTTTTTCAACAGTTTGTTCCAAGCACTGAAGCACTTTTATTAGTTGGTATATCCTATCTTGATATATCTTGAAATTCGAATTTTTCAATTTTGAGGGAAGCAGTTGATCAATGAGCAGAATAATTTTTATCAAATTCAAAATCACACCTCGAATTCTATTACAGAGCATGTTAACTACCGATCGACGAAATTAGTGAAATATATTAACAATGCTGTTACTGGTTAAACAATGGAAAATCAGTGTTTCTGAAGTATGTGTTCGATATCAATTGTTATTTTTTCAAATCACACCTCGAATTCTATTACAGAGCATGTCAACTACCGATCGACGAAATTATTGAAATATATTAATAATACTGTTTCTGGTTGAACAATGGAAAATCAATGTTTCTGAAGTATGTGTTCGATATCAATTGTTATTTTTTCAAATCACACCTCGAATTCTATTACAGAGCATGTCAACTACCGATCGACGAAAATATTGAAATATATTAATAATACTGTTTCTGGTTGAACAATGGAAAATCAATGTTTCTGAAGTATGTGTTCGTTATCAATTGTTATTTTTTCTATTCGAATTACAAAAGTTACTATCGACAACTGTCTCATTTCAGAAAATCGTTCAAAAACAGTCTCGTAATTTCCACCACCTACAAACAAAATCTCATATCAGTGATTCTTGAACATTATCATTCTACAGGTTCGAGAGAGGTCCCAGCGATCCATGCCGATGGGAAGTCAACCCCGCACCTCGAAATCCTCCCTTTCAGTCGGTACACCCGATTCCCTCTCTGATAATGAGAGTTCTACATTCCGCACCCCCAGGAAACCGTCCTATAGGTCTACGCTGACTCCAGGAGGATCCAGGAATAACTCAAGACCTGCTTCGAGAACAGGCAGCAGACCTGGAAGCAAACCGCCGTCTAGGCACGGATCGAATCTTTCTTTAGATAGTACAGGTGAGGTACCTTTGTTTGTTCACGAGCTGCCAATTTTTGATATCAAGTGGTTTGAAAGTACATCAGCATTTTACGGGAAATTAATTTTTTTCTGTTATACTTGTCAAAAACTGTTTATCCATCAGAACCGATTGTGCTTTATGTATTTCTTTTGGAGGTTACCCCGAACTTTTCTAAAGTTGTGATAATGAATAATGATAACAGGAAAAAAATTGAGGTTAATCAATTTTTGTCAAATTTTTTTGAAAAGTTATATCATTAAGAATAAATGTTTATTCAGATACATTTGATTTGATGATCGGAATATGAGTTATAAATTGAATACAAAATCTTTGTTATCAGTGTACTATGGAAATTTTTTTTTATTGAAACTCAGCATTGATATGTAATTTTGAATATATTTTATATTATTTGGTTGAAAATGTTACCATTGATTCAAAATCATTTTTAATTTTGAGAGGATTTGAGTTAAGGTAAATAGAATTGTTGAGTAGTTATCCAGTTAAATCTAACTTAGCCTAACAACTGAAACTTACAGTATTCCATTGATTTTATTCAGATGACTCCACACCCTCAAGAATACCAAGGAGAACCCCCGTCTCGGGTCGTAGTGCTACAACCCTATCCGCCACAACGAGAAAAAATATTAACGGATCTACTTCAAGGCCACGAACCCCTACTGGTCTGATATCACCCGCCAGTCCTGCCACAAGGTAATTATGATGATTATATCAGCTTTGCTATTAATTGAATAATCAAAAGTAGATATTGAAGGTATATTTAATCATTTACATTCGGAATTTTAACGACTTTGGTGTTTGAAAAATTAATGACGATGATAATAGCAGTGTATATTTTCTATATTGTGATATATTCTCAGAATGTTCATGGAAAAACTTGCTGGAACGTTTAGAAATAAACTCTTTACGAATATGTGAAAATCATGCATAGAAGTTACTTTCAGATACAAACTAGAAGAAAAATCCTTCTCTCTACAACTACTTCATATAAATGATAAATGAGAGAGAGTACTTTCAAAACAACTACTTTTATGTAAACATCAAATTATACAAATTGGCGGACATCAATGTTTCGGATAACATTACAAGATGAAGCCCAGCCATAGGAATCTTGTTCAAATTGAATGGGGTATATTTATACCAATTAGAATAGTCCAGTATTATAAAAAATGATATGTTTTCAGTATAAATTCAAATTTTCTTCAGATTATTGTCTTGAAGATCTGAAATATTTGTAGGGTAACAATTATCATTATATTCATGGGTTTGAACTCTGTTGAGGAAAAAAGAGAAATAAATCAAACGCCAGAGTCGCTCATTTTCAAATCGACAAAGAAAGTAGTTTTGAAGTATTTGCATTTAATTTGTATCGAAATTTGAAGCTAATGTGATAAAAACCACTGAAACGTTCAGACATTTCGAATATTTCAGTCGTTTCTGCTTTTCCATATATTTGTACCGTGCCATCATTTCTGGTGTTGGAAATAACAGACACATCATGAAGCTGTCGCCATTTTGTGGATGAGCATGTAATGTCCATACAAGATGGAGACTGCTAATAGATCTAAATGTTTACTAATTTTGGGCATGTCTTATAACATTGGTAGATCATCAGGAATATCCAGAGCATCAAGCATTCCCACATTAACAGGAATTTCGTCCGCACCAAGGTAATCATATAACAAATAATTGTTTTTGGTTTACTCAAAACATTACCAGCTGCCCTTGTACCCGTGTCTGTCATAAAGATGCTAAAGTAACAAATCCTTGATTTTTCTCCCCTCTCAGAAATATCTGAGCATCTTTATTTTGACACCTAGTATAAAACTTTATAATTTCGAAAAATAGGCATTCACTTCGTTCAAGAATTTCAGGTGAAAGAGTTTTAATGTTTTTTAATTGACTTCATTAAGTTGATACTACTATCAATACAAGAAATACTAGTAGTACGAGTAATGTTGTATTATTTTCAACACATTTTGATTCCTTCAACTATATAAGTATATTTTCTGATTCAAAATGAAAAAGATGAATAACAAATTTCAAATTGAAAGGTAATTTGAATTGGATTTCATGTAAATTTTATTATAATATGCTCAAGCGAAGTCGAATCCTATTTAAAAGTTATTGGTATATAGGTTTTGCATTGTAGAGCAGTAGTGTCGGTAAAAGGTTAAATCAATGAAAACTAAGCATGGGGACTTTTGGTTCGGTTTTTTAAAATCTCGCTCCATTTCACAGTTCGTTAAAAACTCCTAGGCGAAAGTCTACAGGTCCCCCGTCACGCTATTCTTTCAGACTGAAAAATAAAGATGAACACGACGAAAACGGATGTTGTCCAAAAAATTAGCGTTGTAAGATATTCTTCATCTCTTTAAGTATGGTGATCGGTTGACTAAACCTCTAAACCACAGTTAACTGGATTTTTTTACTTTTTTAGACTACGCTAGTCATATTTTTGGTATCATAGTTTCCTAATCCCCTTCTTATAACACTTGATTGGAGATGCATTTTCCGTATTGTAATATAACACTGTAGAAAACTGTATTTTCATTTTTCGTTGAAATATACTGCTATGTTTTGCATTTTCTTATTTGAAAAATGTCTCCTGGTTCCCTCATCTTATTTTGTATCAAGATGGAGTAGTAGAAAGCCAAAAACTTTCTTTCCCAAAAATTAATCACTCCTAAAAAATAGAACTGCCTCAATTCAAAGTTTAAAAAATGTATTACCATTGCTCAAATGATTATAAACATTCACAATACTCCTGGATATTGAGTGATGACCAAAGATCAACCTGAGTTGTTGTAGTTCTACACATTTACCTATTGAATTTCAAAACATGTATCAATCAAGTCTCTATGTCTGAAAGACTGGAAAAAGTAAACAATCTTTCAGCATTTGGAAATTTGGAAAAAAATATTTCTCGCTTATTTTGACTCCTCCGAAGGTTTGAATAAGGTTGTCATGCAAATCACTATAAACATACTTTTTGATAGTTTCAGTAACTCCCTGTTAACTCAATAGGAAACACATTATTTCTACTTCGAATAGACAAATAGCTGTATATTTCAATGAAAGTGCTAAAATCAGTCAAAACGTAGTTATTCTAACTCTTTGGTATTCAATCAAGGTCTCGCATCCCTCTGTATAAGGGAAAAAGTGAGGACACAGATCCTGATTCTACATCGAGTTCATGCTCTGTCTCTTTATCTTCTGGGTAACTGTTTGATGCCTTTTGCATGCCTTTGTGTGTGTGTTTTTCAATGTTTTACAAATCAACTGAAGATTTTTTGTTGTTTAGATTGGACTTTTGTTAGGCTTCATTTCATGGTTCTACTGAGAAACAAACTTTTTTTCATAAGCGCATATAGAACTGTTTTTCGAACATTTTGAAGTAGAAGTTCACTTTAGATAGTTTTCGTGTTTTTGAATGTGTGAAGTAGTTTTTGTTCTTGCCATATACTAACATCTTTTTCCATGTTTTACTAACTAATCCAGAACGAAATCTTCTGGCAGCAAGTCCAGCAAATCGAAAATTCCTGTTCTGAATAGGTAATTAATAATTTTCGATACTGAGCATGCAAATTTCAATTTTACAACGTGAATGTGACTGTGTCAAAATTTGTTTCATTCTTGGCTTTTGTTCCCTGTTGATGTATAATATATTTTATGTTGATTGTTTCACAAGTGTTTATAAAGAAAACACATTTTTGCCAACTGAACTTTTTGTGAAATCTATTTTATGCATGTATCACAAGAACCCAAGTTGTCAAATAATTTTGACCATTATATTTGATCATTGTTTTGCATAGAGAACATGCGATTTGGTTGAATTTGAATACAATGGTTTTGAAATAACTCTATTAGGATAAACTCACCTTTGCCTGTTAAAATTCCTTAATATTTCTGAGGTTTACTTTATACTTATCTAAGCGACAAAAAAGTAAATATAGACGGCTCTTCACAAAAAATTCTTTATTATTTTGCCAAACTTCCAGAATACGAGAATGATATTCAAAATTCAAAGAACTATAAAAAATTTACAAAGGGAAATTTTATCCAACTTTGGCATTAATAATAATGACATTGATTCAAGCAAATAATTAAATAAAAATTGATATTTTGTTACATCAACGAAAAATTTGC